CCAGAAACAGAACTTAAAGCTCCCCGGAGCCTAAGTGTGTAAATAAATCCCCCCCAAGAGTGTCCTGCTTCTAAAAGTGATTTTAGTTGGGAGAGCTTCTTATATTGTTACTGTAACAAATCGCCACAAATCAGTGACGTCAAAGAACAGACTCATCTTATCCTCAGTAGGTCTCCTGAAATAGAAGCAAGATGATCACGGTATTCCTGGGCAGAAACTCCAAAGGAGAATTAAAATCTTGCCAGCAACTTCCAGCTCCTAGGGTCCACAGCGTTCATCGGCTTATGCTCCACTGTGTCTTGTAAGTCAGGAAAGCTTGGTGTGGGCCTTTCATACGCCCTCTCTTTGACCCATGATTCTACTCTTGAGGCTTACATGATTCAACCGAGTCCTCCAGATAGTTTCCTTATGTTAAAGCTCTTCACATAATCCCATCTGCAAAGTCAGCTTTCCACATGATTAGGAAGTCCTTGGCTTTGGAGGAGACATCACTTTGGTTAGCACAGATATGCACAGTGGCCCTTGACAAAGAACTGTGAAGTAATAAATGTAGTGGTTTAAAATCAGTGCTTCACTTGTATATACAAGCCAGTAGGTATCTGCTCCAGCTCCTGCCTCCAGCTCCTGCCTTGAGTTCCCTCCACAATGAACTGTGAAGTGTAAGATGAAACTGACCCTCTCCTCCCCTGCTGCTTTTGGTCCTGGTGTTTATCTCAGGAATAGAACAATCTAGAACAGCTGTCCTGTTCTTGTTCACTGCCTTGTTGTCTGTGGATTACCTCTGAGACCTTACTTAGATGCCACCCTGCAAGTCCTCAGGTGCCTTATGGGAAGTTGCACTGTATTTTCATAAGACACAAGCACTTCGCTCCCTGTACTTTAACCATTAACTTACTTATAACACCCAACACGGTACAAACATCTGTAGATAGTTGTTAAGCTGTACTATTTGGGGGCTGGTGATAAGAAAAACTGTGTGTGTTTAGTACAGAAACAATGTTTTAGAGATCATTTTCATTTCCTGGTTCACTGATTGATGCACTCAGAGTCTGTGGAGGCAGAGGGTCAAAATAACGGAACGTGTCTCATAAATTAGCTGAAGGCTCAGTGAAGCCTTAACTCACAGAGACATTTAGCCTCAAACCGTGGACAAAATAATAGACTAAAGGAAAGGCAAACAGCATTATTTTCACTTGTAGTGACATGGTTAATCACATTCTTAGTTTTATTAATGATGACACCACCTTTTCTAATAAAATATCAACAGTTTTGGACTTTCAATTTTGTTTTTTTCCTTTAATAATATAGACAACAAACTACAGATCTAATACAGGCATGAAATAAGAGGCAGTCTGTTACTCCACAGAATGACAGTGTGATAGGAACGTAAATCTTCATAGAGTTGCTAAGAATTAAGTAAGGGTTAATCTGTGTGTATGCCGCCAGGGTCAGTGCAATCTCTGCTTGGCTGCTACTCTTTGGCACTTTGTTTTTGTAAAGCTGTGGCGCTGCTAGACTGGGTGGTAAGTAAACCGGAAAAAGTTCCTCTGAGGAGTTAACGCTTCAGCAGAGACCTGGAGTTTGAGCCGTCAGCTGGTTAAATAGAACAGGAAGTGTTCTAGGTAGCAGTGCAGAAAGACTGCGAGACTGCTGGCCGTAAGCATTTCCTTCGAGCATCTCTTCAAACAAGAAGCACAGCAAATCAAGGCTTTCTGTCTGAGATTTGCTTCTATACTGCAAACTACTCATGGATAAGTATGTATAGAAATATATGCATATGTAGATGCAGAAACACACGTATAAGAAACGAGGAAGGTTAAATTGTCCTTGGGAATTCTGGGGAGGAGAATATGACTCAACAAAAGACAGGACTGAAGTGTCCTGGCTTGAGAGGATGTGTGGGTCATAGGCGTTCCCTGCACCCTCAGGCGGTGAGACGATGAAGCTGGTCCCGCTGTTAGCGCCTCTTCAGTATCTTCCTAATTCTCACTTCTAGTTAATAACACGCAGAAGCGTGGATCCTTTCACATGGTGACTGTCAGTGTGGGAACAATATCTAAACTAACCTGTCTTTCAAGTCTAAGCCTGTGTGTTGTGGTCACAGCTCCTGTATACTTTACATGCTCTGTGTGTCAGGCAGGGATCTGACCACTTTATTTGCATTAGCTCACAACAGCCCAGTGAAGCAGTTTGTCGTTATCACAACTCTTACCTACGAGAACAGGTCAGATGAAGAACCCTGGAAAGGCCACACAGCTAGGAGGCGACAGGGCTGGGATTTAGCCTAGGTAATCTAAGTCATACTCTGAACATGAGGTTTGAAGCAATGCCCATAACAGTCACTCTCACAACCCCAGACATCTGCCTGGGACAACAGGCAGATAGGGAGTAATTAATCCTGTACGTCCAAATGAACCATTCCAGGTATATTTTATAAATTGAGTGCCATTTTAGTTCTATGACCACAAAACCCCAATGATACATCTTTCTGCCGGGCAGCCTTGAAACACATACTATTTTCTGAGCAAAGATACAGGAAAGTGATTAAAGGACTCCACATAGCAGTTGCCAACCATTGTTATACCACTTATCAAATAGACTTGAAGAGCTACAAGTGAGGAAGGTGCTCCTAGAACAGATTTGATCATTCATTGGAGGGAAAGCTGGGGGAACAGGTTCTGACAGGACAGAGGAAGACTGTGAACGCTGAGGTTTCTGGCTTAAACAACTATGTGCTAACCGAAGCACTTACTGGGTCTAACACTACAGGAGGAGTAACCGTAAAGGCTCTTCAGATCTTGATGGTGTAGAAAGTATTTGAGATGGCTGAGAGGCATCCAAGTGGGGAATCAAGGTGAATACGTGTGCATAAAATTCTAAATTCAGGTGTAGTGCTGGTGAGCCAGCTCAGTGGGTAAAGGCATTTGTTGCCAAGCTTGATGACCTGAGTAACAGCTTGAGGACTCGCATGATGGAAGGAAGGAACCAACTCTACAAGCTGTCCTCTGACACACACATTACACACACACATACATACATACATACATACATACACACACAAAACAAAGCATGTACACACACGTGTTACAAAAGTGTAACACAATTTTTAAAGATACAGGTATGAACTAAATAAATCATGCTCTGACACACACATTACACACATACATACATACATACATACATACACACACAAAACAAAGCATGTACACACACGTGTTACAAAAGTGTAACACAATTTTTAAAGATACAGGTATGAACTAAATAAATCATGGACTTACTGATACAGGTGCAAATGAAATGTCAATGAACTAACAGAATCCCATGAAAGAATCCCGAAGGTAAAACAGTACAAAACAACAGAATCACCATGCAAAGGACCTGCAGATGTGAGGGGTTCTGAAGTGAAAATAAAGGCCAGACAGGGACCCCAATTAGTCAAGAGAACTTTCTTGGAAATTAAGACATTTATTTCAGTTTTGTTTTTCAGAAATGTACAAATATACTAGAAAAAATGTATGCTATTGCAAACAGTTTTGCACGCAAACAGCCCACAAGGCCACGTCTGGAAGTTGATGTGTGACAACTGTGTAAATCATTCTGACGAGGTTGTCGGAGGAGTGATGTTACAAAGCCGAGCATACCCTACTTTCCAGTTTCCTTCACAGATGCTGATCATGCGGACGTCACTGAAACCTTGTAGCGTTGCCTTTAATTTACCTTTTTGTGGAGAAAAGTCTATCTTTGCTGGGAAGAGACTGTCTTTATCTTATAGCTGGTTCTTATCTTTATTCTGAGGCACAGTATTTACTGTTTTTGTTAGTCCTTACGATCTTATTAAGGATTTATGGTAGCAGTGCAGGCTTTGTTCACACCCAGTCATTCTGGCTTGTCAAGATGTCAATCAATATGACAACTCTTTTTAAGATTCTTTTCTTTCTTCAAGACTGTGAAAGAGAAACAGCAACTTCTTCAAATGTAGGCATTAAGTGCCTGGGATTTTGTGCTCGTTTACTGGTATAATTACTTATGCAATAGATATTTATTAAGTATATCCTCTTTGAAGCTTGATGCCACAGCTAAGCACCCAGAGCAGGACAGAAACAGCTTCATTGGTGGGGAAGGGACGTGTCATGACCAGAGACACATCACGTGGCAATGTGCTTACTTCTCACCAGCACTTAAATAGGCAGAGTGGGACATAAACCACATCGCAGTACAGTGATACCCAGTGATGCTCTAGGCCCGAGACTGTCCCCATCTTGGTTTGAGGGATGATCTTTGTGTCTTTTCTTCTCTGTGTCCATTGAGGCTGGGCCTTCCCTTTGGAGTTGGGGAGGTTGAGTTGAATTGCACTCGTGGACTGAAATGTACGGAGACTGAGACTTTTTATTTCAATGACACATGTTCAGGAGATGTGCAGTGCACTCGGTGGGTGTGCGAAGCCTGGGCCTGGCATAAGTGACGTTTTCACACCCAGCATCTCACATTTACTTTTAGTCTTTGGGAATCTTTCACACCTGATTTACTGTATTCTGAAACTTTTGTTTCTCACGGTTCTTTACACTTATTGATCCCTGAGACAGATTAAAAAAATCTAAATGTGACCCTTTCCTGGGAGGGAGAGAGGCTCCTGGGGTTTACCCCTTCATGGGGCTGAAACCCAGATAAGGACTGATGCTCTGGAGAGTAAGGGACATTTTCTTCAGTGATGTAGCCAAGGTAAGGGGCTCTTGGTCCTGTAAACAGACGCCTACCCATACTCCTGTGAACAAACTTAACGAAACTCACTAGGTCGTGAAAGCAGAGGGGGCTCAACAGGAGTGGGAGGGACAAGAGATGGTGATGGGGAAGAATGTGGTCAAATATTTTAAGTACATGTATGAAAATGTCATAGTGAACTCATTCTAATTAATGTATGCTAGTAAAACCATTAAAATAGAAGATTGGTCAAGTTTATCCCTCGTCTTTAATACTTTAAAGCTCACCTTCGCGTCTCCGCCATGGGTAAAAAGCTAGACTTAGAAAAGCATACAAACATAGCCCCTGCATTCAGTTACTAATTTAATGACTACACTTAGAATTACTATTAAGTCAATTATTCAGATAGGTTACATTGTACGCCCATTATTAAGGTATGCGCTTTGTGTGATACAAATTCTAAAATTTGTGTTAGTATACAAAAGGATATTTGAGAAGTATTTTAATATCAGAATTAATTAGACCATAATCAATTATTTACAGAGTTTCTCAATAGTATAAATTATCATTTATGGTGGGCTTTATTCGTACTGTCCAACAGACACCTAGTTCTGTAATAGTTGGTATTGTTCTTGCTTTTTAATTCAATTTCACATTTCAAAAGCTGGTGTGACAATAGCATTGGTCTTCCATATTTCACTAGTTTTTACACACTGGTTTGAGTCTGTAATATCTTCACCGGAGTTGTAAAATTAAGAGGAATTAAAGGAACAGCCTATCGGTGGGTGAAGCAGGCAATGGGCACCACGGTGGTCAAGATGAATGTTTGCAGTGACAAAATGTTGATGATTTGGAAGGTGAAATTGACAGTTATATTTGTGAGCTCACATCCCAGAGTACTTTATCAACTGACATCATCTCACAAGTTTGACTCTCTCCCAGCTATGACTTGGGAACAGCCAGGTAAATGGAAAAACAGCTGTACGTGTTCTAAACACTCAGGTCTTTTAATCAGCAAACATGGTCACTTGGAGGCAGATTGCAAACGCTAATGCTTCCCAGACAATGAACCCACACAGGGAAGTTAACAGACATGCATTTTAGATTTGGAGGGTCATAGCCGAGTTCTCGTTAGAGTCGTTGGAAGTGAAGCCCACAAGTGGTGTAGACCCCCATCCTTGTAACACTCCTGATAGGACAGTGGCAGGGAGATGACCACTGACTTTGGGAACCATGGTTTAATGGAACGTTTCCTCCTTCCCACTTTTGTATGCATTGAAATGATACTTCAAAGCCTATCCAAGAAGCAGGGGACCCTGTTCCTAGAATGGCCCCAATTAACCAGTGATTCTCTGCTTTGATCTGAACACAGAACCTGTTACTAAAGAAAGCCATCTTGATTGCAGTTCTCATTAACTTAGGGACTGTCTTCCATCTGTGGTTATGACTTCGTATTCATAGTACTATCTTTAGTCGAATAGAATATTTTCCCAGGAATAATACGAAAATAAAGATAAATTGGTTTGTTTATATAACCACTAATCTCTTAGCTTAAAGTCATGAAGATTTTTTCTGAGATTTACTGGGCGATTTGCATGTAGTATTTACAGTGTGACTCTCTTGGCAACATTAATGATTTTGGAAGGGGAAATGTAGCAGTGGTTTCATAGATTTGTGTATTTTCACCAAGCCATCTGTCTTGAAACCTTGAGCAGGAGGAGATTTCCCCAAAAGAAAAGTAACATTTAGTTAGGTTAAGTGTCAAGCTGCAATCTCACACAGTATAAAAGTCAATATGTACCAAGTCATCTTGGTGAATTCCATCCACACTGCCAGGAGGTTGTTGAACTCAATTACAGAAATGTGCAGAGCTCTATTTGATGTGTGAAGAGGTTAGAAGACCGCAATCAATTAAAAAGAACACATGTATATCCTTTTCTGGGGAAACACTGGTTATAGCTTGTTCTGTGTCTGTTATTTTTTTTTCCTCTGAGTTTCCTCTGAACAACCGGGAAACAGAGACTTTAATTCCCCTGTTGGTTTAGAAATGTGTCAACAGTATCTACCACAAGTACTGAGGTTGTTATTTTACTTGAATAAAGCCTCTGGCAACTAGAATTAAACATACTATCTTTTGTTGTTGCAGCAAAACCCTTTGAAAATGGACAGTATTTGGACATTTATGGAATTACAAGGGACCAGGCCGGGGAGTATGAGTGCAGTGCGGAAAATGATGTCTCCTTCCCAGACGTGAAGAAAGTGAAAGTGGTCGTGAACTGTAAGTCTCTGGCGCGTGCGTTATCACAAGACTAGACCCCATAAAGAGAACTTTCTGAGACTCTGTTTCACTTCAGGGTGGTCCCCGGTGATGTCATGAAGTGGTGACATCACATGGTGGGGTGGAAATGTGAACTTTTATGTGACAACCCTGGTCTCTGCGGCCCCCAGGAGAGGATGGACAGGCTGAAATGCTCCCAGTAATGTGTTCACAGCCCCTTGCTCTAAGGGTTCTACCCTTGTCTCGAGAGGCTATCCACACACCCTTCCTCTTCTTTTGCTAAGGAGCACTGAGTCTGAGTATGACAGCGACCCAGAGCTGACGGAGACGAGTGGCACTCAGCTGCTTGCTCGATGGGGTGATTAAATTCTGTTTAGCTTCGAAATACTGAGAAAATAACGAAGTCATTTTCCCACAAACGGTGTTTGTTATGAGGTTCAGCGTAAGTTACTGGTACTATGACATCTCACCTACATCAGTGACCCCATGTGGGAATAGAATGGCTGTGGCGAAATCCCACTGCTTTGTTGCTGACTGAGCACTAGACACTGGAGTGGTCTTTACTTTTCTGAAGTACTTCCTTCTTTCAAAACTATCTGCAATTGTTTAACTTGTACAAACAAAATGCCTTTGGGATAACAGTGTTTTACGAAAATGACACACAAGCTGTGTCTCGTTCTTCATCATCCCATTTATACACCTTTCTGTATACGGCACTTGATAATGATGTTTGCATACTGTAGCTATGGCAGTTCAGAAGGGATGGCTCTAAACATATCCATGAACACCAAAAGCAAACAGAAGTTATTTCACATAAATATGAGTTTTTCAGTATCATAAGCCACAAGTTAACTCCTAAACTCCTGGCAGTGGAATTGCCTGCCAGAACAGCTCACACTCATCAACCAGCATTTGTCAGTAACTAATTTACACAGTAGGTGTTGAACTACCTCAGTTAGACTGATAAAGTAGGAGGATGTTCAGTGGAGGCAGCTTTTGAAGCGGGATTCTCAGAGAGCTCTGCAGAGAAACAGCAGGATCACCCAGATGCCCATGATGGACTGGGAACATCAGCCCAAAGAACCAGAACCCTTGACTGTCTGCCTAGAGTTTGGCATTTGGACAGGTTCCCACTTATTCTCAGGGCTTTTACCACAGAAGGTGCTGTTTGTCCTCCTGAAACCCAGAAATGAAAGGGGCACCGAGAAAAAATCCTGATCCTGTCGTCACACACTGTAATTGTCCAAGTATCTGTCATCACACACTGTAATTGTCCGAGTATCTGTCGTCACACACTGTAATTGTCCGAGTATCTGTCGTCACATACTGTAATTATCCGAGTATCTGTCGTCACACACTGTAATTGTCCGAGTATCTGTCGTCACATACTGTAATTATCTGAGTATCTGTCGTCACATGCTGTAATTGTCCGAGTATCTGTCATCACATGCTGTAATTGTCCGAGTATCTGTGTAACTGATTTTATTGTTGTGTTTGGGAAAGAAGACAAACTCTCAGTTTTTCTAAACAAATAGAAACTTTGGGAAGATCAAGTTAAGGAGACAGAAACATATCAACCCAATTAACTGATCTTCTAAAGGGCCTTTGTGGAGAAAGATCCACAGTCCTAGAGGACAGAGATGAGAAACCAGATGTCAAGAGGACTGTTCATCACCCTAAGTGGCAAATCAGGAGAGACATGGGGGATGTAGGAAGAGAGTAGGGAATGCTTTCCAATGATCAAGGATTGCCTTTTTAAATACCTAATTTAGTGTGAATAAAGCAACTTGTAAGGAGACATAGGAATGTAATAATGCATTCACATAAAAAATGTAGTTGACAAGATTTTGTTGACTCTCATTTTCAAATTGGCTTACAAAGTAAAACATTCCCACAGGACTTTTCATAATCCTGGGTTTTGCTTAATGCCCTACCCCCTCCTTGTCTTCTTCAAGCACCAACACCTGTCCTGGCTTAAACTTCCCATCCCCCAATTCTCTGCCTGTGTTTTCACCTGTGTCATGCTATGCCACCTCCCTGAGGGCACCCCCACCTTGTGGCCATCTTCTGTTTTCCTGGCTTCTATATGAACTCCAGATTAAACACACAGGTCTGAAGATGTGAAGTTAGGATCCACATAGAGAGAGGATGCAGAGAGTCCCTTCTGGTGCTTGGTTAACTTGCTCTGTGTAACTTTTTCTACTTCCATCCGCTTTCCTGCACATTTCATTTTTCTTGATAGCGAAATAAAATTCCATTGTGCATATGAACCACATTTTCATTATCCGTTCATTAGTTGATGGACATCGGCTGATGTCATTTCCTAGTTATTGTGACTAGAGCAGCCTGGGGGGTTCGTATCTTTGCAGTAGACTACAGGGTACCCTGGGTGTGTGTCCAGGAATACAATAGCTGGGTTATATGGTAGGTCCACTTTGAGCATTTTGAGGAATCTTCACACTGATATTCACCCTGGCTGTACCAATTAACATTCCCTCTAACAATGAATAAGGTTCTTTTCCCCTCACATCCTTACCAGCCTTTGTTGTCGGTTTAAATGATCGTAGTCGGTTTTGTCTTTTAGCTCTCCCTGAATCACACTTGGGGAAGCTCACATGTTTATGGACAAGTGCGCTCTGAAATGACTGTGAATTACATGTTTTTATTCCAGTGTTGCACACATCCCAGTGGTCTGCAAAGTGGACAGTGTGTTAGGGGCAGTATTGCGTTCATGTCTTTTGATTACAATTAAGTTTTCAAAGTATTAATTTTGTGGCATTATCCCTTTAAAGGCCAAAGATTGAGAGCTACCTGTGGATTTTATATAGCTATTTTCCAAAGGAAGTGAGCCAAAGCGTCCCACACCTACCACGGCTCACCAAAGCTCAGAGCCAGCTCTGTGCAATCAGCACAGACACACAGACCCTCACATCCCTGGGAACATCCAAATTCCCTGGAGACAGTGTGGGGTGGTTATTCTCCGGCATTGATTATGCATGTCGAACCCCAGTGGCCATGTGGGTTATAATTCAAATAGAAAGTCTTCCCTTTTCCCCAAATGGGGATCAAGATGAAATGTATAAATTTTCATAAGCTCTGATAGATTCAGTCATGTGCTAAGTCAATTCTAGAAGAAAAGAGGGTCCCTACAGTCTGCTTTGTTTAATATGTTAATGTCTAATATTGCTGCCATATTCCCTATAGGTAGAAAACAAGCATATATAATAATAAATGGCATCACATTTGCCACAAAGTTTGTACATAGGCCACTTTAGTGCATATTTTTATTTATATTAACTAAATGGTATGTTAAGATTATTTGTATAATTGATTTAAATCAATTTGTCTGGTTTGTTGATTGAATGAATCAGTTCATTAATTATTTACAGAGAGCACTACTATGTGAGGGAAAAAAGTTGTGGGCCACTAAAGGTTAATGCAGATTATTTCTGGGCAGGGTTAGTTAGATGATTACTCTTCTTGTGTTTACTGGCATTTATTTGAGTGTGTACATATGTCCTGTCAAATTGTATAAAAACTAAAATAAAAAAGAAACATGTAGATTGCTTTATGCAAACTACCTAAGATTAAAAAATACACACGCATACAAATACAGAGATACACAAACACACTCGTCACGCTCATAAATACAAACACGCGCGTGTGCACACACACACAAGTTCAAGGCATGAAGGGAAACTGGATCCATTTTTAAACCAGATGGATGTAGAGGATTTGCATTTGGACAGATTTACTTTCTTGTCGGCATTCGTGTTTCATCCTCATTGGACCCTAGGAGATACCAGGACCAAACTACATATTGTTTTTTATAAGATGGACGTGTGCAGAAAGTCTGTGAGTTTAAAGGAAGGGGATACCAGAGAAGCTCTGACTGGAACGTCGGGCAGAGTCTGTGTACGGGAAGCCAAGTCCAGAGTCTAGACAAGCCGGAGACTCAGAGTGAAATGACGAGCAGGACAGCAGGACCCAGATCCCAGAGCATGGGAACCAGGAGACAACTCTGTTCAGAAGCAATGTGGTGTCCCAAAGCCAAAGAGCAGGCTGGTGACAGAGGGGACCCTCTTTCTGTCCTGCCCCATGGACTCAACTAGTAGAAGGTCCACCTCAGAAATGTGGTCCTTACAATCAGATACAACTCAGGACATTTCATTAAGAGTAAATATTAGCAGATAATCCACTTATTGACGATTACCTGATCTCTGACACCTCAGGGAAGACTTGCTTCCTGAGTTTCAAATTCCGTTTCTGCAAGTTCAAAGAAAAGTTATATGTTTATATGTATATAATAAACATCAGACATTTTATAAATTGCATAATGAATTTATACATATAAAATTTAAAATTTATATTTTATAATATAAGCTCAATAGACTCTAAAATGTAAGCTCTCTATGGAAAGGGTCTTCCTGATCTTTGAAAATATGTGTTTCTCTTGCTTAGCACAGCATCTAGGCAATAAGAAGTTGTCCAAACAGGAGCTGAGTCACTGAATCGTTAGACCAGATTCTCTCAGGCAAATCATTCTACTATACAAAAGAAAGTACCAGGTTTCCTTAATTTCTTTTTCATCCAGGGCCGTGAGAACATGGTACTGACAAGTTTCCTTCTGCTACCACTTGCCTACCACAAATTTCAGGTGCATTCAATAAAGATTCACTACTATTTATAAAGAACTTTTATTCAGAAAGAAAGAGCACTAATACTATTTATTTAGAGACAAAACAGTTGAAGAACAGAGCAAGTAAAACATCTAACACCTTCACTGATTTCCAAGAGATAAACATGCATTAATAAAAAAGACAATTAACTGTAAAAATATATTATTCAACCAAATTAAGGTGAAAAGATGCCTGGATGTTACTCCAATTTGACTTTTAATAGATTCTTACATTGACCATTTCAGTTGGAATTAGACATAATTTAGTACACAGTTTTCAGTAAAATGGAATTCAGTGAGTCTTCTTCCCACAGGCAAATAA